TCCTACCCTAAGCCCTAACCAATAAGAATAGAACATAAGGCCGAATTAAACATTCTCAGGCTATAAGATCTTAATTATATACAGCCGTGATGCATACACAAGTAACTATAGTAATGATGTCAATCTTATACAAGGAAAACCCTAGGCTAGCAGGCATCATGCAATCAGGCAATTCTATCATGCAATTCCTGAAGATCCCTAGCCTAGTACTAGCATGATGTTCTAATCATATCACATAATCAAATAACTTGTATGGTATTTTGGGGTCTACTTATTGGCTCCGGCTGATCGTACCCTCTGCATCCTCCTTTACTTATTTTGAAACCATTTGAAAACCATTTGAAAATCTTTCCTTGATTTGAGACTGGATTCACACGAATGTTCCTCCAATTCACTCAAACCAAGGCTCTGATACCAACTTGTAACACCCATAAAATTCAAGCCAATTCAAAACATTTTAACCCATTCAAAAACCATTAAGTTATTACAACTTGTTTTCAAAATAGTTTAAACATCAGAGTATCCCCAGAACCAAATCACAAAATCATGAAATATGAGGAGCGGTACGATCACGCCTTTGCCTTGCCACGATCACCTGATGTACCTGAAACAATAAACTGAAAACCGTAAGCTCGAAAGCTTAGTGAGTTCCCCCAAAATACCCGTACACACATAACCATACACATACAGCAATGAACAACATACTGTGGGTCCAATCAACCGTCAGGTTGGAATACCCCAAGCCCTCAACCGTCGGGTTGGAATGCCAACATACTACGAGTCCAATCATCCTCGGGATGGAATACTCTCGGCCCACAACCATCGGGTTGGAATGCCCACACACCTATACATACAATAACTACTACGGGTCCAATCATCCCTCGGGATGGAATACCCCAGGCCCTCAATCATCAGGTTGGAATGCCCACCTACTATGAGTCCAATCATCCTACCGGGATGGAATACTCCTGGCCCTCAACCATCGGGTTGGAATGACCACATACTAGCAAACATGTGCACCTATCAAATAACCATATAACAATCTACAAGACAACATACTAGGGCCCTATCATCCTACCGGGATGGAATACCCTCTACTACTGCTCAACACGTGCACATATAATAGGTAATCTCCTACCAGCATACAGACAGTCAGACCAACTACAGGTCACTAGGCATAGCCACATCCAATCTACCAGAATACCGATCTAACATAGCATGCCATCATATAGCCATCCTATCTACCAGGATGCCAACTAACGTATCACAACAGCAACTATCTCAAATAACAAATCAAAGGGCCGACCTTGGTGCCTTAGACCCTTGGGTATAGTGAGGATACTTACCTTGCAACTGCCGAACCGAACCACGAAAGCACAATCCCGAAGCACTGCCCCAAACTCCAACATATATAGCCATCAATGATCCATTGACATAAATATCCAAATTACCATAATACCCTTGAAGGTTAAACTGGTCAAAGTCAAAGTCCTGGCCAAAGTCAACCTTCCTGATTGACCCTACTCGCCGAGTCAACCCGTTGACTCGCCGAGTTCCCAAACTTCAGAAAACTCTTATATCATGACTCGACTCGCCGAGTCACCCCATGACTCGTCGAGTTCAACAATCTCTGAGTCCTATCATGTCCAACTCACTGAGTCACCACTCAACTCACTGATCTGAGTCTTAACCAGAAGAGGTTGGGGTTTTGCGTTCTGACTCGCCGAGTCCAAGAACAGACTCGCCGAGTCCACGGCAATCTTCAACAGACTCGCCGAGTTGTTCCTCCAACTCACGGTTGGATCATATGAATTTATGAAGATTTGAAGGCCATATGAAGCTTTGAAGATGAATATGAATGTTCTTGGTAGATTGTTTGAAGATTTGAAGGAATGGGACTGTAAACATTTGAAGATTGAAAGAAAAAGGAACTGTTCACGGTTGATAGGTGAGAGGATTTTGGGGTTGTTTACGGCTGGAAATGAGTGAAATGAATTGATGAGGGTGTAAACACATATATAGGAGGTGTTTACGGATGACTTGGCATTGGGCCTAAGGTGTTTACGGTTGGTTAATGGGCTTAAATTTGGGTTTTCGGCCCAATAAGAGGGTGTTCACTTTGATGAGTCCATAAACACTCTTGATTACATAAGGTTGGATCGTGAACTACTCTTCTTCAACTAAATGGATCGTGAACTTCCATTTAGGAGTGATGTTTGGCCGTAAACTCCATTTAAGGAGTGTTTCTTGGCCATGAACCTCATTTTTGGGTGTTTTCATGACTTAAATTTTGGATTAACTCAAGAATAGCCCCTTAACTTTGAACTAGTGTAAGTTTGACTTAATCAAGTGTGAATTTGATGTTAAGTGTTGGACTTTTAGTACCTTACTTCTATGATTTTCACATGTATTTGTATATAAGCTAAATAAACATACTTGTAGTTTAGAATCTTATTAAAAGGAAATAACGGGTTGTCACATTGATGGTAAGTGACTAATGTTTGTAGATTAAAATGTTGTTATTTATTCAAAAATTATTTGTTTATTTTTTAATGATTTGGTTATTTATTCATTGATTTTCAGCTTGCATATGTTTAGAACATGATGTATGAAAATATCAAGTTGGATAAAAGGCTAGCATTTATTGCGCATGTCAAGGGTGATAAGCATATAAAATGTTGTTATTTATTCATAATATAATTTGTTTTTGGTATCGTTGCCTTTCTGGAAGTCAATAGTATCCTCTGTATCATCATCATTGAACTCATTTTCTTTTTCTACATCTTATAATATAATGAGTGTAACGGAGTTAAAATATATATGGTATACACATAACAACAAAAGTATACAAATTAAAAAATACATAATTAAAATACATCACCTTAATTATGATTGCTACTTTCACCGATGGGGCAGTCTGGTCATCTGTGCGATTTTGAATGAAGTTGGATGGAGTGTCTGCTTTGTACATTAAAATGTCGCTATAATGAAAATAACAATAAACAAAATTAAACATGCTTATCAAAATATAGAATTTGTAATATGGAAAAACCTTAACAAAAATAAAAAATTCACCTCTATTGGGATTACTAGTTTCCTTATCATAAAATATAGATTTTATAGTGTATGATGATTAGATAACTCGTAACCTTCAAGTTCCTTTACATGATCAATAGGAAATTCATGTTCATCATGAATATTATTATTACTAACTGATACTTCATCATCCATAAGAAATTCTAAAGTACGAATAAACGCCAAGAGAGTTCATAAATGTTGTTAGTTATTATGTAAATTGAATATTAGAAACTTTGTGAAACTAAAGTACAAAATAAAGGAGGGAAAAAGCATATGATTTGTAACTATAAAGGCGTGATATATGCATTCCTTAATTAAGAATGATTTAATTTTGATTCTTTTTTTAAACATACTAAAGATAAGGATCCTACTATGCGTTAAGGATATTCTTTTTACTTAACTTATTCATATTCTATAGATAAAATTTTCCAGTATTACAATACATTATTAAAATTTAAAATTTATTATATACTTGATTAAAAAATTATGTTGAACTATGAGATTAAAGTTAGCTTTTTATAAAAGAAAAAATATTTCATTAGTTTTTTGGTTTGTTAATTTGTAAATTGTTTTTTTTTCAGATTTTACTATTTCAGACATATTATGAGAATCATATAAAAAATATTACTTATATAACTGTCTTGTTATATAGGCTTCATTCTGTCAGAATCTTATAAAAATATGACTAACATAATTATGCATTGTTATAGTTTTTTAATCAAATATAGAATAAGACTAGCAACACAATTCACATTATATGTTTTATATCCTAAACCACACTACACAACTCTACTTATAACACAAAACTAAACCTCGGAGTCTTTATATTAAATATGCTAATTTTGTCATAATAACATAAACCATGAACTAATATGAATGCGGTTAGAATGTTATTCGTTTTGTTTATAAAAAAAACATAAACCATGAACTAGTATTAATATATAATGACTGTAAACATAAATATAGAAGAAAAAATCACTAACATTCATAAAATCACGAACTATTAGTGATATTTATTGACTGTAAACATAAAATAGAAGGAAAAACCCCTAAAATTCATCAAACCCTACTTTTATTTTACTGGAAATCAATTTCATAATAGCTAAAACGTCTAAATTCATGAACTTCTTGAACTTCTATGCTTTCTTGGCAAATGTATAAGGATAATTTCTCTTATCATGACCAATTCCAAAGCAAATCCCACATCTTTTTTATTGAAAACTTCATTCACCTTGGAATCTTTGACATTACCAAACTTCTTATATTCATTGTCTTCGTTATTCTTAGAAGACTTTAAATCTGAATTGTTATCAGCCGGAGAATTATGCTGGCAATAATAAATTGTATTAAGTATTTATGATTACAAATAATCATGATAAAACTAAAATACCTTCACCTATTTGTCTTCAAGAATATCCATTAAACTATGAAATATAAAAAATATGAAGATGAAAGCAGAGATGGAAAAGTAGAATATCCATTAAACTATGAAATATAAAAAATATGAAGATGAAAGCAGAGATGGAAAAGTAGTGTATGATTCACAGATGATGTGAATGTATATAGATTATTAGGCTTAATGATAATTAAGATATTCATAAATATTTGCATAATATAAAGGGATTTGATTCATATACGAATCAATTAGTTAAATTAAAAATATTATTAAAAATATAAGATTACAAATTTACCCTATTTAAATAATTGACATATATTGATTTCTACATCCATACAATAAATATTCAGAACACATTAACCTATCTCTCTACATATTAATATTAAATGCATTCGATATACTAAATTGTAAAAAAAAAAAAAAAAAAAAAGACAAGTGGTCAATTCAAAATTCAACAAAATCTTCATTTAAATTGCATTTTAAAACATATATTACGTAAAATGCATGTTTTAAAACATAATTAAAACCGGGACATCCAAAATTTCCAAGTAAAATGCACCAACTTCTCCAATTTAAGGTTTTCACCATGAACATCTTCAAGAAACTTATCCAAGATCCATGCCTCGTACTCTTATCTAATTCATCTCTAACTTAAACTCTATATATACATATTACATAATATATTCGATCACAAGATCAAACTTTAGCTGATCAAGATCAGTTCCTCATCATTCTGACTGCAAGTTCTTGAAGCTCACCCAAATCACTTTCAGAAAGTCTCTTGTTATATAACCCATGATCATTATTGAAACCATTTCGGCTTTGAATCTCTTGAATCCCAATGCCTTCATAGTTGTGATCGATTGACTCCATGGAGCTCTGTGGTGATGTAGTGAAGGTCGTGAAATTTGCAGCATTTATGTAGTTATGATATGGCATTGCTCCAGCCATGCTGGGAGTTTCAAGATTTCTTGAATCCACGTACCCTTGTGCCATTTGAGCCTTTACTTGCATTATTTGTGCTTGTAAATATGCAACCTAAAGATTCATTAGATTGGTTTATTAAAAATGTCGAAAAGATCATGATACAGGAATGAAATAAATGACGATTTTATAAGTTATTTATGCCTAGAATTATGTGAATAGGGAACAATAAATTATTTATTATAATCTGTTTTTTTTTTAACCGGCAAATCTAATCTACTACTAAACTAACAACACATATTCAACACATATTCTACCTATGTCAACCACAGAACTTGAACCCTCAACCTCTCAACCTCAAAAAGGAAGGGCACCACCTGATACCGCTGGGCTACAAGCCCTTTATATTATAATCTGTTAGGTAGGAGAATCCATGAGCAGGCCCCGATCCCTAACTCCATTACTGTTTTTTTCCCGGTCATGATTGAATTCGCAAAGGGAGAAAATTTTACACATTAAACTTTTTTATTTTATAAGACAAATTAAAATTCTGAAAAATATGATTCTATAAGAAAGATTTTTACATTAATTAACTACAGATTCTTGAGGGGGATAACAAACCCCTCCCTTTGCTCCGTCACTATTTATACCTAGCAGCGGAACTAGAAAATATGCCACCCGGTGTGAACATTTCACAGATTGATCAAGTTAAAGCGATTTTTTTTTTTTTAATAAATTTATGATATTTAATTAGATTTTTCAAACACTTTTATTAAAAAAAAATTGTGAAAACTCCACATACTAATCCCATTTAGTTTTGGTGCCGAAAATTCTCTATTTTATGATTTTATATAAAATTTTGAACTATATATCTACAGATATATACCGTTCAAAAAAAACATATCCAGAAATAGAAGAAGCCAGAGAATTTAGCCGACTACATCAGGAAATTATGTACCTGTTGCTGTAAGGCAAAGATGTGTGCAACGCAACCATAAACAGGATCTTTGATTCTAGCTTGAGCTTCATAAGCAATGGTAACCACCGCCTCACAGCGATCTGCAGCCGCCACATGATGCAGCATTTTTGAAACGTTGCTTGCACCAAACACCTTATGAATGGCGGCAAACCGTGCGGGGCCTTGTTCCGAGCAGAAATAGGGTGCAAAAATACACTCCGAAGTGCATTTTCTTCTCAGAAATTTGCATGCACCACAAGGTGAACCAGTGGCGGCCATGAAAGAAGCTTGAAATTTGAAAAGTATATGGATGAAGAAGAAGAATAAGAAGAAGAAGAAAAAAGAATAAGAAGATGATGATGAAGAAGAAAGAATAAGAAGAAGAAGAAGATGATGATGATGATTAAATGCACACGAGGGGACTAGAAAATGGTGAAAAAAGAGGAATTATAAAGGAAGGAAAAGGAGACAAAGCAGGTTTGTATGTAGGGGTGTAAAGAGACAAGTAATAATTGTTTATGCAAATTTAGAATTGCTTCTTCAATGAAGGTTAGACTATTCCAATATGAGTTTTTAATATGCCTTCATTACCTATTTGTCTTTTATATAATAGTAATATAATTGATCGGTTAAATTGGTAAAATTGACGAGGAAAATGGTTAAAGTTTAATATAATGAAACGGGTTGGCCAGCTGGCTGCTGGTACATTGTTTTCTTTTCTTTTGATACACAATGGATTTTCATACTAAGAGCATATGGTATGGGCAACGAGAAGTGATATTTTTGCTGATGTGACATCTCATAACATGGTGATAACATCATGAACACCATTTCCCCCTTGGTGCTATGGCATATTTTGTTGGCGTTATGACATATTGAAACGGGAAGATTGATTGGCTGCACATATATTCTCTCTCTACTTTTCTCCTCTTAACCTCCTCATAACATGGTCATAACATCATGAATATCATTTCCCCCTTTGTGTTATAAGGTGTTATAACACTACCTCAACGGGTCCATACCTAATGCTCTAATAAGTATGCCTGATAATTCTTGACACGACCCGGGTTTGGGTTGAGTTATTCAATCCGTCAATCCGCCAACCTGTTTATTAAATAAGTTATATATGGGTTTGTCAAAAAACATATGGGTTGACCCGCCAACCCATTTAGAAATTTAAAAAAAAAAAATATATTTTTTAAATGTATTAAATATTATTCGTAGGAATGTAGGATTAAGATTTATATTAATATGACTATTACATTAACACTTGAATTTATCTATTTGTATTAACGTTTTAGTTTGAACATGTTTTCATGAATGTTTTCATTTTCATTTACATCTAGAATTTATTCATATTTAATTATCTATTTTATTTATGGAATCTGACCCACAAACCCAAATCTAACCCATGAACCCCCAACCTGTAAACCATTATAAATAAGTGGATTGACGGGTCGTATATGAGTTTATGTTCCAAACCCATCAACCAATGACCCGCCAACCGGTGACCTATATAATTAATGGGTCGTGTTTGAGTTGGTGTATTTTAACCCGCCAACCCGCGACCCACCAACTCGAACACGACAAGATTGGCAGGCCTACTAATAAGGTATATATTATTTATTTGAAAGTTTTAATATATTTTTAGATAGTTATATTTTTGTAAACATTATTAGATTTTAATCTTTTTTTTTCAATATTTAGGTATTCAACTATCAATGAAAATTTAATAGAATGCACGCAAAATAAGACATAATCTCTTGGATATGCGTATGTTATTCAAAGAATAAAGATGATAAAAGATGAAACTCAATATGATTTATATACAACAAGTTATTAGTACACTCTAAAAGAATACATATTGATTTATGAAGGCTATTTCAACAACATAAGTCAGAGAGTTGGGAGGCTGCCCACTGTTGAATTATGAGAGTTTAATGTTACAAACTTATAATTCATTATATCCTTTTAAGTATCCTTTTAATATTTTTAGTTTATTTATTTTATATATATTTGCTTGTGTTTGTTATGATTTAGTGCAGAAAGGTATATAGTGTCTAATTTGCAGAAGTATTGGGTTGGAGTAGTGAGATGGTGAGGTTATGAAACACGCGGGTCATATCCGATCCATATTGTAGATCGGTGACCCGGTTGACTAGTCAGAGGTATAAATTGGTTGGTTGTGTGAGGAATGGAGATAGATGCGTATTCATCTTCATACATATCACTTCTTCTTTCTCTCGTCATTAGGGTTCTTTTTCTTAGGTTTAACTTTTTGTTCTTAATCAGTCATTCATAAGGTGTGTAGTATAGGTGAGTGATTGTAGTGAGGTTCTTTGTAGAGAGAAGAGAGTTGTATGTAGTGAGGTTTGGTTGTAAGTATTCTTGAAAACCTTCTGGTTCTTGATAAATAAGAGCTGATGATGTTGTGATTTCATGTGTTTGTGTTTCTTTTGATGGTATCAGAGCCGAGTTACGGTGGTTTATGATCTGTTCTTCGTCTAGATCGAGTTAGGGTTTAGATCGAGTTAGGGTTTCAGGTCGTTTCTTGTAGATCGAGTTAGGCTTTCAGATCTTGTGTCTGGGTCTGGTCCTGGCTCGTTCTTGTCCTCTCCTGGGGTTCTTTAGATCTATTATCAGATCTAGGGTTTGTTTCCGATCTGTTCAGATCGTGAGGTGATCATCAACCTGGTTGTTCTCTTGTCACATCTTAAGAGTAAACGTTTGTGATAGATGTAAACGATTAGGGTTGATATTGTGTTAATTCTAACGGTCAACGTTATCTCGAAGGTCAACGTTAAGATTGTGCAAACCAGGTTCTAAAATCAGGTTGGTTCTGGCATTTGAATGCTTGTTTCGATTTCTCAGCGGTGAATCTGTGTTTCAGATTCATCGGAACTACATTGCTTCTTGCTGAGCTTATTATTTAAGGATCTTTGTAAGTTTCGCACACATCTTTGTCTATTTTTTTTTATTCTTGGTGTTCTGGATAGATAAGCTATCTTCTGATCATATTGTTTCTCGTATGTGAACAAGCTTGCTCTGGCCTTGTATGTGTTATGATTCTTGTCTTGTTTATAGAAACTATTGTGGAAGAAGTGTGATTGGTTCCTGGATTTCTGATTTATCTAATTTCTTGATTGGTTAATCATTTAATCATGTCTGATACACCACCAGAGTCATCTAGTAAAAATGATGTTGTTGATTTTGATGATCCTCTATATTTGCATCCTTCAGATCATTCTGTGACAACTATTATAAATTTCAAACTGCTTGGTACTGAAAATTTTAGGGTTTGGAAAAGTTCAATGACTAGGGATCTTAAAGACAGAAATAAACAAGGGTTTATTGAAGGAACTGAAATAAAAGATAATAAGGATGCTGTTAAATCTCTAAAGTGGGACAAGGTTAATGTTATTGTGTGTTCTTGGATTCTTAACTCACTTTCTAAATCCATTTACATTGGACATGCATGTTCTGAATTTGCCTTGGATGTTTAGAATGAACTTTGTGAAACTTATTATAAGGCTTATGGTTCTGTTGTTTTTAATATTCATCAACAAATTAATAGTCTCACTCAAGGTAGTTTGTCAGTGTCTGATTATTTTAAGAAGTTGGATGGTCTATGGAAAGAATTTGATGGCTTAACAAAGTGTCTTGATTGCACTTTTGAAGCTGCTACTCATACTAAAAATCATTCTAAACTCATGAAACTTATGCAGTTTCTCAGTGGTCTTGATGACTCATATAACCAGGTTAAAAGTCATATTCTTATAATGGAACCATTGCCTGATGTTAAAACTGCCTTTTCAGTTGTATCCAGAGAAGAGTCTAATCAGAAACATAGGAATATTTATGTTTTGTCTAATAAAAGTCACAATTCTTCTGCTTTTGCTGGTAAATTTACTGATAATAAAACATTTAAAGGTAGAAATAAGAATTTAATCTGTAAGAATTGTGGAATTAAAGGTCATACTATTGAGAAATGTAATAAGCTTATTGGGTATCCTAAGGATTTTAAACCCAAGTCTGAGTTTAATAAGTTATCTACTGGATCTGGTACTTCTTCTCATGTTAGTGAAAGTGTTAATGCTTCAATTGTTTCTTCTGATAAGTCAGATCATCATTTTTTAACAAATGATCAATATACAAAGTTAATGTCTCTTCTTCATGAGAAATAGTTATCAGAAGGTGTATCTGTTAATGCTAATATGGCAGGTATGTCTTGTAATAGTGTTTTCTTTAATAAAAGAAAATGGATTGTTGATTCAGGAGCAAGTCAACATATGACTGCTTTCGAATCACAACTTTCTGATGTGGTTGATGTCTCCAAACTTAATCTAAGAGTTGATCATCCTAATGGTTCAACTGCTAAAATAGATAAGATTGGAAACATTAGTCTTTCTGATTCTATTATTTTGTCTGATGTCTTTGTTATTCATGATTTTCATGTTAGTCTTTTGTCTGTTCACAAGATTTGTAAAGAAAGTAAGTGCAAAGTTGTTTTTAATGAAAATAACTATTTTATTCAGGATTCACTGTCAATGGAGACTGTGAAGACTGGTAAAGAATTTGGAGGTCTTTACTATTTGGAAAATCAATTGTTAGGTAGGTCAAATTCAGTGATTAATAGTCATAAATGTTTTGTATCAAAAGTAACATGGCATAATAGAATGGGACATCCAACTGATAAAGCCCTAAATGTTTTAAAACCAGTTTTCAATTTTGATAATGAGTCAGTTATGCCATGTGATGTTTGCGATAAGGCTAAACAAACTAGAGAACCGTTTCCTTTGAGTGAGCATAAGTCCTTTTAATCTAGGGGAACTTGTTCATTTAGATGTTTGGGGTCCCTATAGAGTTGCTGCTATTGGTGGTTTTAGATTTTTTCTTACTATTGTAGATGATTATACTAGAGCTACATGGGTTTTTTTGATGAAATCTAAAGATGAAGTATTTAGCTGTTTTCATGAATTTGTTATGTTATTGGAAAATCAATTTAATGTTAACCTAAAGGTTATTAGATCAGATAATGGAACAGAATTTGTTAATCTAAAAATGAATAGTTTTCTTGAAACCAAAGGAGTTATTCATCAGACTTCCTGTGTTCACACTCCACAACAAAGTGGAGTGGTAGAACAGAAGCATATGCATTAATTGAATGTAGCTAGGTCTTTGTTGTTTCAAGTTGGGTTACCTAAAAAATTCTGGGGAGATTCTATTTTAACTGTAGTTTTTTTAATAAATAGAACACCATCTTCTGTTTTAAATGGTAAAACTCCTTTTGAATTAATCTATAA